CTGGAGCATCCGGGTCTCCCTCAGGGGCAAGAAGCATGGACACGAGATGAGGCGCAGCGGCTGCAAGACACTCAAGGTCCTCTTGCCTGTCCTCAAGGACGTCCGTGCCAAGAGCACACTCACCCCCGACGGACGGAGGACAGACAGACCCAGACTCAGCAACAAGACTAGCGGCGTAGTCTAGACGACAGGCAACAGCAAAGTCAACAAGCTCAGCAACTAAGGCAGACGTAGCAGCAGACTCAAACGACGGGTCAGTGACAACAGTGGCTAGCAGACGCGTGACAGTAGGGTGCTCAGCACGAAACCGGTCAGACTCGGGGTCCGCAACGACAGGCAGAGAAGACGCAGGAGGGGACGACAGAGGAACACGCTGCGGAGGAGAGGAAGGACGACGGACTACGAGGTGGGTGTCGGGGACAGCCGGTAGACGCGGACGAGGAACACGACGACCGGAACGACCAGAACAGACAGGCGAGACAGGACGCGACGCAGGCTCACGACGCTCAGTAAGACCCCCTAGCTGCTCAGTGTAAGGAGAAGGAGCAGGCAGCGGTGAGCCAGGCTGTAACGGAAGACCAGTAGACGAAGGGAGACTAAGAACCTGGCGAAGCACAGAGTCAGGCGGTGGCTGAGACGACGGGGACGGTGGAGCGAAGAACAGGCGCGGCTGTGCAGTGACACCAGCACCAGCAGCTCCAGTACCCCCAGCAGCTCCAGCACCTCCAGCAGCTCCAGAACCCTCAGCGCCAGCTCCTCCAGGACCAGCTCCACCAACAGCAGCACCCCCAGAACTGGCACCTCCAGTCCCAGGGTCTCCAGCCTTAGTGCCTCCAGCAGCAGCACCCTCAGGCTCAGCACCTCCAGCCCCAGCAGCTCCAGTACCTCCAGTACGAGCACCTCCGGGACCAGCACCACTCCCAGCTCCAGTGACGTCAGCAGAAGTACCTCCAGCGGCAGAGCCCCGAGCTCCAGAAGCGCGACCCTGACGGCGACCGTACCAGTCGTGCAGCTGCTGCGAGGTGAGAGGCACACGCGGACGAAGGCGGCTACTGCAAGGAAACCGCGCAACAGCAGACTCAGAACCCTCAGCGCCAGCACCCGCAGCAGCTCCAGAACCTCCAGCGCCAGCACCCTCAGCAGCTCCAGAACCTCCAGCTCCAGCGCCACCAGCGCCAGTACCTCCAGCAGCTCCAAAACCTCCAGCGTCGGCACCCTCAGCATCTCCAGAACCTCCAGCTCCAGCGCCACCAGCGCCAGCACCTCCAGCAGCTCTAGAACCTCCAGCTCCAGCACCCTCAGTAGCTCCAGAACCTCCAGCGCCACCAGCGCCAGCACCTCCAGCAGCTCCAGAACCTCCAGCTCCAGCACCCTCAGCAGCTCCTGAACCTCCAGTAGAAACAACTCCAGTGGCAGAGTCACCAGCTCCAGTGCCTCCCGCAGCAGAGCCCCTAGCTCCAGCAGCGCGACCCTGACGGCCAGCGTACCACTCAAGCAGCTGCTGTGGGGAGAGAGGGAGTCGACGACGAGAGTGCAGCGGCGAGGCACCAGCGGAGCGACTACGGAGACGGCCGCTCCAGGGAGACTGCTCACCAGACGCCTCAGCGCCCCCAGGCTCAGCACCCCCAGACTCCTCACACCCAGGCTCAGCACCTCCAGTCTCCGCACCCCCAGGCTCCGCACCCCCAGGCTCAGCACCCCCAAGCTCAGCACCCCCAGGCTCCGCACCCCCAGGCTCAGCACCCCCAGTAGCAGCACCCCAAGCAGGACCACCCTCAGCAGGACCCGAGTCACCAGTGACCTCAACCGGCGCAGTCAAGGGAGGAGGGTCTACCTGAGACACACCTGAAGGAGCAGGACCGGGAGCGGGGAGGGGGTCTACCTGGGGAGCACCTGGAGCGAGGAAGAGCGGCGGGGGGGGGGGGAGGGGCAGTGCGGTAGGGGAAGAGACGGTAAAAGGGAACCGACTCGTCGAACGTGACGTCCTGAGAGGGGAAGACACGGCGCGAGGTGGGGTGGTAAAACTGCCAACCAGGCGCGTCAGGGACAAAGCCAAGGAAGACACAGGGAACAGCGCGGGCGGAGAGCTTGTCCGCGGTGGTATCGCGGACAAAGGCACGAGCACCCCAGACCCGGAAACGCGACGCATCGCCAACCTTCCCCGTCCACAGCAGTGTGGGCGAGGTCTCCGGCAAGGAGACACGGGGCCAGAGGTTGAGCTGATGCGCGGCGTACCGGACCGCAAACGGCCACAGAAAATGGGGGGCAGCCGCATGGATCATGGAGGTACGAGCGACCTCCATGACTAAGCCACTGCGGCGCTCAGCAACCCCATTCTGCTGCGGAGAGGCCAGAAGCGTGAACGTCTGGCGGATGCCGTGCTCCGCACAGTAGGCTGCCAAGAGGTCTGAGGAGAACTCACCACCTCTGTCAGAGTGCAGACGCAGGACAGGAAAGTCCGACTGGAACCGCTCACGGAGCTGGAGACGAATAGCGCGGATCCAGGGGATCAAAACATCAGGGAACTCCCCCTTGCTGCGCAAGGGGAAGACCGTGGTGTAACGCGTGTAGTCGTCGATGACCAGCAGGAAGTACCGCTCGTGGCCCTGTCCACGGACGCGGGCTGGGCCCCACACGTCCAGGTGGAGAGTCTGCAGGGGAGCCTCTGTGGGAGGGAACGAGGAGGAGTGAGGAGCGGTGCGCTGCCGCCCCTCGACACAGGGAAGACAGGGAGGAGCAGGCGAGGGTGGTAGAGGAGGCAGAGTCTCTGGAAGTCCAGAGACAAGGAAACGGCGGTGCATGCTACGAAGGCGCTGCACCGAGGGGTGACCAAGGCGGTGGTGCCAAAGGAGGGTCTGGTGCGACAAAGCGCGACACAAGCAGGGGGCCGCTAGCTGACTTGACGCAAACGCAGACGCAGACGCGGCTACCTGAGGGGACACAGTAGTCAGTGTGTACAGACTCGAGCCAGGCGCTCGGGTGAACGTGGCCAGGTGCCGACCAGTCCGGGAGCACGTACAGTGGGTCACACGCTGACCTCCAGGGGTGAACTGGTCAACCCACACATCCTGTACGTCAGCTCCACTCACCAAGTTCGTAGAGAACGAGGGGAGGTGAAGACCTGACAGGGAGCCAGACGGGACCGCCGGATACGGCAGGACCGTGGAGGAGTGCGCAAGGACTGGACCCCCAGAGGGGTCCGCCAGGGAGACTGCAACCGGCCGACGGAGCGGCGTGAGGGTGGTGCTGTCGCGAAAGAAGGAGCGGGAAGCACCTGAGTCAAGTGTGAAGGTGTACAAGGCCTCAGCAGGCGCAGTACCAGAGAGAGCAGACTCACCAGCACCTGGAGCAGTAGCCTCACCAGTACCTAGAGCAGGAGATGCACTAGCACCTAGAGCAGCAGGCTCTATACCTGGGTCAGGCGGTACGCACAGGGAACAGGCACGGTCAGCACTAGTAGGCAATGCATACATGACAGTGAGAATAGCATCATAGTCAAGAGCAAAGATATCTACCCTCTGTCCAAGCAGCTCCAGCCAGGAGGGGAGCTCAGCCTCGTCGCCAAACTCGGTACGCCAGGCGTCGCTCAGACGGGCGAAGCAGCGGGACTGTGTGTGACCAAGTGTCCCGCAAGCCTGACCGGTCCGATCACCTGTGCGAATGACGTACGGGCAGCGAACGGTACTCAAAGACCCTCTACTCTGAGCGTACCACTCGTGAAGCTGCTGGGACGTAAGTGTCTCGCGTGGACGCCGCTGCAGCTGCAGCTTGCCACTGCCAGACGCTCCCAACTGACCAGCTCCAGGGCGACAGCTACGACGGCGACCGCCACAACCCCAAATAGCGTACCACTCACTAAGCTGCTGGGGCGTGAGAGACTCGCGTGAACGTCGCTGGAGCTGCATCTGGCCACCGCCAGTAGCAGTAGTAGCAGCAGCAGCAGCAGCAGCAGCAGCAGCAGCAGTCTAGCAGTAGTGGTAGCGCGGGCAGGGCAGGCGCGGCAGGCAGGCAGGCACGCAGGCGTGGCAGGCAGGCAGGCAGGCAGGCAGGCAGGCAGGCAGGCAGGCAGGCAGGTAGGTGCTCACCAGTGGCGAGAAGGGCAGGCGCACGACGGCGGCGACGGCGTGGCCGCGACAGCTGCGGCAGAGCAGGACCGCGTCGGTAGGGCAGGAGGTAGGGCATGTCCGCGACAGCTGCTGCAGGGCGGGGATGTGACGGCGGCAGAAGGCTCCGCGGCAGCTGCTGCAGGGCAGGGCCTCGACGGCGGCAGGAGGCTCCGCGGCAGCTGCTGTAGGGCGGGGCCGCTACTGTGGCAGGGCGCTCCGCGGCTGCTGCTGCAGGAGTGACGGCGGCGTCCAGGGGCAGCCGCGGCGCGCGAGGCTGCAGCGCGCTACGCGAGCCGCGGGCGCGGCGCGCGAAGCCACTGCGGGCTGCGCGAGGACGGCAGCCGCGGCGCGCGGGGCTGCAGCGCGACGCGCGGGCAGCGAACGCGACGCGCGGGGCTGCAGCGCGAAGCGCGGGCAGCGGACGCGACGCGCGGGGCTGCAGCGCGACGCGCGGGCTGTGGGCGCGACGTGCGGGGCTGCAGCGGGACGCGCGGGCTGTGGGCGCGACGCGCGGGGCAGCGACCTGGCGGGGCGGCGCCCTGGCCTGACGGGCCTGCAGGGGCGGCTCGCTGGCGTGACGTGTCTGCAGGTGCGGCGCGTGGGCCTTACGGGCCTGCAGGGGCGGCGCTCTGGCCTAGGGCAGCAGTAGGCAGCACGAGGGCTGCAGGACGGCGCGCGCAGCGCAGCACGTCACAAGGCAAGGCAGGCAGGCAGGCCAACACGTGGGGTAACGCGGTAACCGCAACGGTAGGTGGGCCCGAAAAAAAAACGGTCCTACGGACCTAGTGCTCTGAAACCATGTCAGAATCTAGCAGCAGGAATGATTGAACTATGAAAGAGTTGGGTACAAGTATGAAACCCTAAAAGGGGCTGTACCCCATATTGGCTACCCCACTACAGCCTACACATAGATAAAATGCATATGCTTTGACAGAATGGATGGATGTGGAGATGGGGTATTGGGAATGGATGGATGTGGAGATGGGGTATGGGGAGAGGATCGGATGGGGAGAGGATCGTATGGGGAGAGGACGGTGCGGAGGTGCCGCAAGGCCGAGGACGGTGTCGGAAACACCTGGAGGGGAGGGGGAGAGGATCGGATGGGGAGAGGATCGGATGGGGAGAGGAGAGGATGGGGAGAGGATCGGATGGGGAGAGGAGAGGATGGGGAGAGGAGAGGATGGGGAGAGGAGAGGATGGGGAGAGGATCTGATGGGGAGAGGAGAGGATGGGGAGAGGAGAGGATGGGGAGATGAGAGGATGGGGAGAGGATCGGATGGGGAGAGGAGAGGATGGGGAGAGGATCGGATGGGGAGAGGAGAGGATGGGGAGAGGAGAGGATGGGGAGAGGATCTGATGGGGAGAGGAGAGGATGGGGAGAGGATCTGATGGGGAGAGGAGAGGATGGGGAGAGGAGAGGATGGGGAGAGGAGAGGATGGGGAGAGGATCGGATGGGGAGAGGAGAGGATGGGGAGAGGATCGGATGAGGAGAGGAGAGGATGGGGAGAGGAGAGGATGGGGAGATGATCTGATGGGGAGAGGAGAGGATGGGGAGAGGAGAGGATGGGGAGAGGAGAGGATGGGGAGAGGAGAGGATGGGGAGATGATAGGATGGCGAGAGGAGAGGATGGGGAGGTGAGGGATGGGGAGGTGAGGGATGGGGAGGTGAGGGATGGGGAGGTGAGGGATGGGGAGGTGAGGAATGGGGAGGTGAGGGATGGGGAGGTGAGGTCTGGGGAGGTGAGGGATGGGGAGGTGAGGGATGGGGAGGTGAGGGATGGGGAGGTGAGGGATGGGGAGGTGAGGGATGGGGAGGTGAGGAATGGGGAGGTGAGGGATGGGGAGGTGAGGGATGGGGAGGTGAGGGATGGCGCTGCACATGGAAATAAACTGCTGCCTTGTCGTACGCTGCATGCGCTGACACTAACTCTAGCCTGAGGGGAGAAAGGGTGGAGATGAGAAGGGAGAAAGGGTGGAGATGAGAAGGGAGAAAGGGTGGAGGTTGGGTCGTTGCGTGTGTGACGACAGGGGAGTGAGCGTGGGCGGCGGAAGGGGCACGCGCTTTCGCGACGGGAGAGAGTGAGCGAAGGCGACGGGAGGGGGGTGAGCGTGGGCGACGGAAGGGATTGAGAGTGTGCGACGTACAGGCAGTGAGCGTGGGCGACGGATGGGGAGAGAGCGTGCACGACGGGGAGGAGTGAGCGTGGGCGACGAGAGGGAGTGGGCGTGGGCGACGGAGGGGAGTGAGGATGTGCGACGGAGGGGACCGTTGCGGCGGGAGGGAGTGAGCGTGGGCGGCGGAAGGGGAGTCGTCGTGCAGCGCCGGGAGGGAGTGCGCGGGGACGGCGGAAGGAGATTGAAAGGGAGAGCGCGGCGCGGGCGGCAGCGTGCGACGAGAGGGAATTGGCCGTGTGTGACGAGCGAGGGTGAGCGTGTGCGATGTAAGGATTGCGCGAAGGCGATGGAAAGGGAGTGAGCGTGGGCGACGGGAAGGGAGTGAGCGCAGACGACGGAAGTGATTGAGAGTGGGCGACGGAACGATTGCGCGTAGGCGATGGGAAGGGAGTGAGCGTGGGCGACGGGAAGGTCTTGGGCGTGGGCAACGGAAGGGAGTGCGCGTGGGCCGAGATAACTGACGGAGTGCGCGTGGGCGACGGAAGGGAGTGCGCGTCTGCGGCGGGAACGAAGTGCGCGTGGGTGACGGAAGGGAGCGTGCGTGATCGGTCTCGGCGCTCCCGCGTGGGCGACGGGAAGGAATACCTCACTCTCCGCGACGGAACAGAGCGAGCGTGCGCGACAATGGGGGTTGCGCGAAGGAGACGGGAGGGGAGGGAGCGTGCTCGTTCTCACGAGGAAGCGTGAGCGATGGAGGGGAGTGCGTGTGTGGGACGGAAGGGGACCGAGTGTGGACGACGGGGAGAAGAAGCGAATGCGACGAAGTAGGTCGATAAACCTTAGAAACGCGGACAGAGAGGACGCCGCGGCTATGAACAGGGGTGACATCGATGCGGTGGGCAATGGGGAGGTGCAACGTGGGCGAGTAAAAACGTGAGCTAGAATCGGGGAAATATATATCTTTGGCACTTACGGAATAGAGTATTAGTCCTAACGAGTAAGGCGGGTCTAAGAGGCCTGGGGTTGGAATGAGGTTGGAGCCTAGCTGTTCTAAGCTATGGCTGCCGCTGGTGCTGATTGGACTAAGCAGTTTCTATCGACCTGAATTACAGGTTTCCAGTTTGGTGTGCACACCAACGCGCAGGAACCGAGCGACACTTCCCTGTGCTGCCTGCGACTTCATCACGTTTTGCAGGTGAACACCTGGTAACCACCCTGGTTCGGGAGGGAAAGTGTTAACACCTCCCAACGTTTTTTGTAATTCAGGCTTCGGGTTTTAAGCCAGCAGCAACAAAACAAAAAATATGTGTTTTCAATGCATGCCCACGAGATTTCCACCCACCAAACAAGCTGCAATACATCCCTGCCCAACCACCAATGCATTTCTTTCCAACATGGAAGACTGTCAACTATCATAGTTATAGGCTGTAGTGAGATGCATTCTAGAGGGTACAGATCAGTGCCCTAGATATAAGACTTTGTAGTTTGATTCAGAGTCCGTTCAGACTTTTTTTTTTGTACCTAGTCTAGAGTCAAAGATTTTTTTTTATGTACCTTGTCTGATTTTTCAGAGTTTTTTTTTTTTAATGAGTTGTCTGAAATTTCAGCCTAATTTTATTAGTGTAGGCTGAGCCTCAGACTTGTGTCGGGGGTGCACTCTGCGAGCTTATCGGAGCGAAGTTTCCTGGAAGTTTCTTTTCGATATGCCCACTTCCGAGATGGCAGTGGAGTGGTAGGACGTGAGCAACGCATACTTCAACAGCTGGGACATCCGAATACACTCGTTCGTCGAGAATATCTCCCAGTTACGCTAAGAAAATGGTTGCGTGATTACGAGATTTCTAAGACAAAATCTCGTCACATGTAAGTTATTGCTAATGTATTGTAAAGAATAGGCGATTTTTATGCTGATTCGTTGTAAAAACATCTGCAGCACTGTCAAATGTTGATATTTGTGATAGGCTGTAGTGAGTTGCTCCTTAGAGAGTATAACACAGTTAGGGTTGCCTATTTGTATTGCCTTGTTTCCTAAACTCACCATTCCGTTGCATTCTACTCTTGAGATGGTATCATAGTAGGTTCGAGTTCCTTAGCCCTAGCCTAGCCCTAGCCTAGCCCTAGCGCCCTCCGCGCCCACGCGCCCTCCGCGTCTTAGCGCCCTCCGCGCCTTAGCGCCCTACGTGCCCTCCGTGCCCTCCGCGCCCTCCGCACGTTCGTGCCCTCCGTGCCCTCCGCGCCCTCCGCACGTTCGTGCCCTCCGCGCCCTCCGCACGTTAGTGCCCTCCGCGCCCTCCGCGCCCTCAACGCACGCCTAGCCCGGCCCCTCCCACTGTCGCGCCCTCCCCCTGCCCGTCGCGTCGCCCCCCCCTCCCCTTCCCCTGCCCGTCGCGTCGCCTCCTCTCCCCCTGCCCGTCGCGTCGCCTCCCCTCCTCCTGCCCGTCGCGTTCACGCGTTTCCTTACCAGCCAGCGTCAGGACGGCGCCACTCTGTGGGCCCACGCGTCTGGTGCCCTCAAGGCCCCCCCGTCCCCCGCCGCCCTCCCGACCGCCTCGGAGCCGACTCCTACGGCCCAGGCGGACTACGAGCATCGGGTCCTGGCACGGGACGTGTGGCTCTCTCGTGACGCTGCCGTCGCTCTCACGCTATCGGAGCTTCTCCCCCCGACTGAGGCCGCCCACTTTGACAAGGTGGAGACAGCACAGGGGGTTTGGGATGCTATTGTTGCCCGCTATTCCACCCCTTCCTCTGCCTCCCTCAGTCGCCTCCTCATGCCGTTCGTGTTTCCCGACCTATGCTCGTTTGCGACTGTGTCCGACCTAGTGACTCACCTCCGCTCACTTGACGCCGGTTTCCGTGCGGCCTGTACCGACGCCCAGCTTCTTGCTGCTCCCCCCCCCCCCATGTGGCTCACTGTGCACTGGTTAGTCACCCGCCTCCCTGACCGCCTTGCCACTGCTCGCGACTCGCTTCTCCAGAAGCACCCCACTGAGCTCACCATCGATCTCCTTGAGACCGCTCTCGGGACAATCGAAAGTAGTCTCCTCACCGTTGCCTCCGCCACTGACGCAGTAGCCCCCCGTCTCTTTGCGGGGTGTGCCGCCCCTCAGCTTCCCACTTTCACTGCTACCCGCGCTTCTGCTGCTGTGTCGGTTTCTGAGGACACTGCTGCCGTTTCCGCCGCAGACTGGCAGAAACGGGGCAAGGGTGGCAAGAAGGGCGGGAAGGGGGGAGGTGGAGGCGGTGGAGGCGGCGGCGGAGGTGGAGGTGGAGGTGGGAGCGGCGGCGGCGGTGGTGTAGGCGGCGGCGGCGGCGGCGGTGGTGCACCAGGTGGAGGGGGCCTTGGCGGAGGTGCAGGACAGACAGGCCCACCCACTGGTGGTGGCCCGGCCGGCGGGGGTGTTGGCCCCCAGCAGCAGCAGCCACAGCAGCACCAGTCACAGCAGGGACAGCAGCAGCAGCAGGGACCGCAGCAGTTCCAGCAGTGGGGGCCCCCACTGCAGTGGGGTCCGCAGCAGCACTGGGGTCCCCCGCCGCAGTGGGGTCCGGGAGGACCAGGGAGCACCGGCCGTAGCGGCAGCACTTCCAGCTGGGCCCCTCGCCCCCCTCGCCGTGACACTGGCCCCTGCACCCACTGGTGCCTCACCGGACCTGGCAGCCCCTGTCTCTGCAGTCGTGACGACCACTCTGCCGCGCGGTGCTTCCGCCGCCTCGACGACCTCTACCGTGCTCGTTGGGGCCCTACGGCGACCACGCCTCGCTGGGCTCGCCTGTTAGCCCGTAAGATTGATGTGTTTGATCTGTCCATGGACGATGCTCGTCAGCATGCTTTGTATGCTGATGTTGACTATAGTGCTGATGGATCTGTGTGTTCGTGTGTTCGTAGACTAGCTTGCTTGCCTCCTGCTAGTGTAGACTTGTGCCTTTCTAGTCTAGGTGCTTGTGTTGCTGCTCTAGGTGCTTGTGTAGCCACTAGGACAGGTGACCCTCCCGCTGAGGCGTCCCTGTCCTTCACGCTGGACTCTGGTGCGTCTCAGTGCTTCTTCCGCGACCACACGACCCTCACGCCACTCCTCACTCCTGTTTTGGTGGCTCTGGCTGATCCTACCTCAGGACCAGCGGTTGCGCGTAGCTCCACTACCCTCCCGTGTCCTGTGGTCCCCTCTGGTGTCCTGCGCGGCCTCCACATCCCCTCGTTCACTCGGAACTTGGTGGGTGTTGGTTACCTCCAGGACAGGGGGATCACGGTTACCTTTGTGGGGGGTGGGAGGACTGCGGTCTGTACAGACGCTGCCACAGGTGCTGTTCTGGCCACGTTCACCAGGGAGCCCCGCTCCGGTCTCTACGTTCTCCACACCGTGCGCTCCCAGGTTGCGTCCTCCGCTCAGGTCGTTGCGTCCCCTCCAGTCCAGGTGTCCAGTCCAGTTGCTGTGTCTAGCCAGGTAGTCGTGTCTGGTCCAGTTGCAGGGTCTAGTCAGGTCGCGCTGTCTAGTCCAGTCGCTGCGTCCTGCTCCTGTCGGTCCCTCACCCACCGGACCGTCTTGTGGCACCACCGCCTTGGCCACCCGTCGATCCCCCGCCTCCGCGGGATGACCACTCACGGGCTTGTCACCGGTCTCCCACGCACCTTTCCGTCGCTCCCCACCTCCCCTGCTCCCCCTTGCACTCCTTGCGTCGCCGGTCGCTTACGCGCCACTCCCCACTCCTCCCTTCGTCCGGCCACTGCTCCCTTCGAAACCCTCCACTTGGACGTCTGGGGCCCTGCCCCGACGCAGGGTTATGGGAGGGAGCGTTACTTTCTGGTGGTCGTCGACGACTTCTCCAGGTACACCACAGTGTTCCCTCTCGCGAAGAAGTCCGAGGTGACTGCTACGCTGATTCGGTGGCTTCTGGCTACTGAGGGCACTCGTGGTCGTCGTGTCAGTTGTCTACACTCCGACCGTGGGGGCGAGTTTTGCTCCGGCATTCTTGGCGGATTCTGCGGCGAACAGGGCATCGTACAGTCCTGGACGCTTCCGGAGTCCCCACAGCAGAATGGGGTTGCTGAGCGCCGCATTGGCTTGGTCATGGACATTGCTCGCACGTCCATGATCCATGCCCGTGCGCCCCATTTTCTGTGGCCCTACGCGGTTCGCTACGCCGCACACCAGCTGAACCTCCAGCCGCGCGTCTCACGGCCCGAGGCTTCACCGACCAGTCTTTGGACCGGTTCCCCTGGTGCTGGGTCGGCCTTTCGTGTCTGGGGCTGCCTTGCGCTTGTTCGCGACACCTCCGCGGACAAGCTCTCGGCACGCGCCGTCCCCTGTGTCTTCCTTGGTTTCCCAGTGGACTCTGCCGACTGGTCCTTTTACCACCCGCCCCTCCACCAGTTCCTAGACTCCCGTGACGTCCGCTTTGACGAGTCTGTGTCTTACTACACCCGGTACCCCTGTCGAGGTCTCCCGGTACCCCCTCCCCCTCTTTTCCTCGCACCCTCTCCTCCTCCTGCTCCCGCTCCTCCGGTACCCCCGCCCCCCCCTGATCCTGCCCCGTCTGGTGTGTCCCACGCTATCCCACGCTACCCCTCTTCCCTCGGTCGTGCGTCCGATCGCGTCTCCCTCCCCGCAGTCCTCCTCGCAGTCCCCTCAGCAGCCTTCGGCACCTCCGCGACAGGTTACTGTGGACTCGGTTGGTGTGGGAGCTGGAGGTGCAGCCGCTGGCGGTCCTCGGTCTGGGGGTGCTCGTTCGAGGGGTGCTGGAGCTGGAGGTGCTGGCGCGGGTGGCGCTAGCTCTGGGGGTGCTAGAGCTGGAGGTGCTGGCGCAGGTGGCGCTAGCTCTGGGGGTGCTGGAGCTGGAGGTGCTGGCACTGGAGGTGCTAGTTCTGGGGTTGCTGGAGTTGGAGGTGCTGGCGC